AAGGAGAGAACAAAGAGAAACTCTGAGGTACGAGAGGGACAGAGAGACCTCAGTGGCAGAAGCCGAAGTCAAAGTGCGCCGTGAGATCCGGGAACCACGAGAGGAGCTGAGAAGAAGAGAACGAGCCTGTGAGGAGGAAGAAGAAGAAGCAGAAGCAGAGAGAATTCCCCGGGTGAGAGAGAGGGAAGGGGCTGTGAGGGAGAGGAGAATCCATCGGGAACGGGAGCTGGAGATCTCTGAGCGCCGCACTCGGGACAGGGGGGCAGAAGTGCCCAGCAGGGAGCGGAGAGAGGCTGGCCAGGAGATCCGGCTGGAGGTCCTGGAGGAAGAGGAGGAGGAGGAGGAGCTGGAGCGGGGATCGTGGCGGTACCAGACCCTGGATGTGGATACCGGCAATCTCTGTCCCCCGGGACGGGAGGCGCCCGTCAGTGACCTCAGGCTCCGGTACCGCCCCGCTGACCCCGAGGTCCGGCCCGAGGTCCGGCTGCTCCCCGAGGCCCCGGAGCCTTCGACCATCGCCTACCTGGTGCATGTGATCCAGAACCGGGGTGAGCCCAAAGCCGCCACCTACGAGATCGTGTGCCACCAGCCCGGCCACCCCTGCTCCGTGTCCCCGAGCCACCGCCCCGAGCCGCAGCCCAGGGCCACCAAATCCCAGGAGAAGCCCGAGGATGTGGATGAGCCCCGGGAAAGATCCGGGGGGGAGGTGAAGGATGGAGCCCGGGCGGAGGCGGTGAAGTCCCAGGAGATCCGGAGGCGCCCCGAGGTCGCCGAGGTGCAGCAGGAGCAGCCCCGGGGTGAGGGGTCCCAGAAGGTCCCGAGGGAGCCCCGGAGAGAGCGAGAGGACAGCGAGGCCAAGGGCTCTGCCCCGGCTCCCGAGGCTCGGGAATGTCGGGATCCGGAGCGCAGAGATCCCGGGGAGACCCGCGGAGAGGGAATCCAGGAGGATGAGGAGGCTCCTGAGGAGGAATCCAGCAAGAGGAGCGGCCGGGAATCCGGCAATTCCCAGGTTTCTCGGGAAGGTGGCACCAAGCAGGGCCAGGAGCCCTCGCAGGAGGCCCCGAGCCGCCCCAGGGATGAATCCAAGACATCCTGAGGGGAATCTGCCTCTCCCTGGAGCCTCTCCAGGTCCTTCTGAGGGTCACCTCTGAAGGATCCCGGGGTGTCCAGCGGGGTTTGGGGGCTTTTCCCTGGGATAAATCCTCAGCGGGAAGCGAGATCCCTCCGGATCCGGAGTTTCCGCCTCCCTGCCGGGTGTGTCCCTCGATATTTAATCACTTTTTCTGCTCTAATTGGAGTCCTTTGTCCCTTTTGTGCACCCTGGGGTGTCGCTCCAGGTCCTCCCAGCCCCGGGGCTGGGGCTCCTCTCGGCTTCTGCCGCAGAACTCCAAAGAATTCCTGATTTGGGGGCCTGGAATTCCTGGAGGCTGGGAAAAACCTTTCCAGCCTCGATTCCAGCGGAATTCCAGCTCCAGGCTCGGGGGTTTGGAGCGGCCGCAGGGTGCTGGTGGTGGGTGGGGGATTCTCCTTCTCCTTTTCCTTTTCCTTTTCCTTCCTTTTTGTCGCATGGAAAATGGGAATAAACGGCTGATTCCTGCACCAGCTCCGAGCGTCACGTTCCGGGGGGGCTGGGAGGGGAGCTGGGATCAGGCATTCCCAGTCGGGATCAGGCATTCCCAGTCGGGATCAGGCATTCCCAGTCGGGATCAGACATTCCCAGTCGGGATCAGGCATTCCCAGTCGGGATCAGACATTCCCAGTCGGGATCAGGCATTCCCAGTCGGGATCAGACATTCCCAGTCGGGATCAGACATTCCCAGTCGGGATCAGACATTCCCAGTCGGGATCAGACATTCCCAGTCGGGATCAGACATTCCCAGTCGGGATCAGACATTCCCAGTCGGGATCAGACATTCCCAGTCGGGATCAGACATTCCCAGTCGGGATCAGACATTCCCAGTCGGGATCAGACATTCCCAGTCGGGATCAGACATTCCCAGTCGGGATCAGACATTCCCAGTCGGGATCAGACATTCCCAGTCGGGATCAGACATTCCCAGTCGGGATCAGACATTCCCAGTCGGGATCAGACATTCCCAGTCGGGATCAGACATTCCCAGTCGGGATCAGGCATTCCCAGTCGGGATCCGGCATTCCCAGTCGGGATCAGGCATTCCCAGTCGGGATCAGGCATTCCCAGTTCAGGTCACACATTCCAAGTTCAGCCCGGGGTTCTTCCCCCCCTTTTTCCTGCTCCGAGTCCCGCTGGGAATTCCCGGGATCTGGCCGGGATCCCAAAATTCATCCCCATCCCTGATTTCCCCTCCTCTCTCCTCCAGGGATCCCCTCCAGAGATTTTGGGGATTTTCCTCTTTTTTTCCTGTTCCAGTCTCTCCCTGAAAATTTTGGGGATTTTTCCCCTTTTTTCCCAGCTTTCCCCTGCAGATTTTTGGGATTTTCCCCCTTTTTTTCCCAACCTTCCCCTGCAGATTTTTGGGGAAAAATTCCCCCCTTTTCCCTCAGCGTCCCCCTGAACATTTTGTGATTTTTTTCCCCCTTTTTTCCCCAGTCTCCCCCTGATTTTTTTTGGGATTTCCCGCCCACCCCAGGGCCCGGGAGGGTTTTTGGGAAGGGCGCGGCGCATTCCAGAGGCTCGGGAGGAGCCGCGGTTGCCGCTGGAAACGGGAATTGCCCAACTCTGACTCAGCCCGGGCGGGGCTCCCCAAGTTTTTTTTTTCCCCCGAGTTCTTTTCCTGATCCAACAATTCCAACCTCGAGCGGGTCCCAGCCATGGTGAGGGAGCCGCGATTCCCGGGAATGCGGGGAGGGTGGGAAAAGGAGATTTTTTTTATCCCGCAAAAATGGTGGGAATTGGAGTGGGGAGGGGGCAGGGAACGGTCCCGGGGGAAGGAAAAACGGGGGAGGGAAACGGGGAAAAAACAGGGAAAAAACAGGGGGAAAACATGGAAAAAACAGGGAAAAACGGGGGGAAAAACAGGGAAAAACGGGGTGGGAAAACAGGGGGAAAAAACCGGGGGGAAAACCAGGAAAAACTGGGAAAAATGGGGGGCGGAAACAGGGAAAAACGGGGCGGGGGGGTGGAACAGGGAAGAAAAGGGGGGAGGATGGGAAAAATCTGGGAAAAAAGGAGAAAAACTGGGAAAATGGGTGAAAACCGAGAGGGGCGGGGGGGGGAGAAATGGGGAAAATCGGGATTTTCTCCCAAAAATCCGCCTCGTCCAGAGGGCGGATCCAGCCCGGGCCCTTCCCAGTTCCGCGCTGGATCCGCCACCTCCCCAGGGAATTTCCAGGCTGGGCCAAGGAGCGAAATCCCGGGAAAAATGCGGCGGGACGGGTCCGGCTGAGCCCTTCCCTCATCCCGAAAAAAACCGGGATTGCTCCTGGCACACTTGGAATGGGCACAGGAGGCTCCTCCAGCCCTTCCCTCATCCCGAAAAAAACCGGGATTGCTCCTGGCACACTCGGAATGGGCACAGGAGGCCTCTCCCTGCTCCCAAAAACCTGGAATGGGCACAGGGGGCCTTTCCCTGCTCCTCAAAAATCCTGGAATTCCTCCTGGAATGGGCACAGGAGGTTCCTTCTGCCTTTCCCTGCTCCCAAAATCCTGGAATTGCTCCTGGAATGGGCACGGGGGGCCTTTCCCTGCTCCCAAAATCCTGGAATTGCTCCTGGAATGGGCACAGGGGGCCTTTTCCTGCTCCCAAAATCCTGGAATTGCTCCTGGAACGTGCCCAGGAGGCTCCTCCGGCCGTTCCCAGCTCCCGGGAAAAGCGGGATGGGGGCCGGGATGGGGGTGGATCCCGATCCTTTCCCGATCCTTTCCCGATCCCGCAGCCCACGGAGACGGAGCGCTGCATCGAGTCGCTGCTGGCCGTGTTCCAGCGCTACGCCGGCCGCGACGGCAGCCCCGGATCCCTCTCCAAGCGGGAATTCCGAGCCTTCATGGACACCGAGCTGGCCGCCTTCACCAAGGTGCCCGGGGGGCGGGATCCGCGGGATCGGGATCCTCGGGATCGGGGTGGGATCCCTGGGATTGGGATGGGATCCTCAGGATTGGGATCCTCGGGATCGGGGTGGGATCATCGGGATCGGGGTGGGATCATTGGGATCGGGGTGGGATCAATGGGATTGGGATGGGATCCTCAGGATCGGGGTGGGATCCTCGGGATCGGGGTGGGATCATCGGGATCGGGGTGGGATCATTGGGATCGGGGTGGGATCAATGGGATCGGGGCGGGATCAATGGGATCAGGACGGGATCAATGGGATCGGGATGAGATCCTCGGGATCGGGGTGGGATCAATGGGATCGGGGCGGGATCAATGGGATCGGGGTGGGATCAATGGGATCAGGACGGGATCAATGGGATCGGGATGAGATCCTCGGGATCGGGGTGGGATCAATGGGATCGGGGTGGGATCAATGGGATCAGGACGGGATCAATGGGATCGGGATGAGATCCTCGGGATCGGGGTGGGATCAATGGGATCGGGGTGGGATCAATGGGATCAGGACGGGATCAATGGGATCGGGGTGGGATCAATGGGATTGGGATGGGATCCTCGGGATTGGGATAGGATCAAAGGGATCCATGTGATCACTGGGGTTGGGATGGGATCCATGGGATCAATGGGGTTGGGATGGGATCCGTGGGGTTGGGATTGGATCTATGGGATCATGGAGTGGGATGGGATCCATGGGATGGGATCCATGGGATTGGGTTGGGATCCATGGGATCATGGAATGGGGTCGATGGGATGGGATCGGTGGGATTGGGATGGGATCCATGGGATCAATGGGATTCATGGAATGGGATGGGATCGATGGGATCAATGGGATGGGGATGCGATAGGATTTATGGGATCCATGGGATCCACGGGGAGGTTTGGGATGATCCAGGGTGTCCCAAATTTGGATCGGGATGGGACTGTGGGAACATCACCCACCGGGGAGATCCAAGGATTTTTCCATCCCAAACCATCCCAGCCCGGACAGGGAATTCCCCCTCATTCCAAGCAGCAATTCCCGTTTTTTATCCCCGCCCCAGAACCAGAAGGACCCGGGCGTGGTGGACAGGATGATGAAGAAGCTGGACATGAACAGCGACGGGCAGTTGGATTTCCAGGAATTCCTGAACCTCATCGGGGGCATCGCCGTGGCCTGCCACGACTCCCTGCTCCTCAAACCCCAAAATCCCTAAATCCGGAGCCTCCGGAGCCGTCCCAGCTCCCCTCGGAATGCTGGAATCGATGGAATGGCCCCGTTCCCCTTTTTTTAATTTTTTTGGGAAAGGGAAAAAGGATAAATGATTTTTTTTTTTTTTTTTTTTGGATAAATAAAAGGTTTAATGCCCCGGGGTTTGTCGGGAAAACGGCGCCGATCCCGAGGGGTTCCGGGATCATCCGCTCCAAATTCCAGGAATTCCCTGCAGGGATGGGGATCCAACCCTCCCTGAGTCCCTTCAAGTAGTTCCCAAACCCTTTTTTTTCCACGGAAAAATCATCCCAAATTACCCAATTATTCCCAAATTTCCCACCCTGGCCCAGCTCGAGGCCGTTCCCTGGGATCAGATCCCAAATCCCCGCTGGAAAATCCCGGAATTCCCCCTGGATCCCCCTTTTCTCTGGGATGAGCCCACCCCGCTCCCTCCATTCCCTTCTCCCGCCGCTCCCTGGGCACTTCCAGCCCCTCATTCCATGCCCTGGACATTCCCAGCGGGACAATCCCTGGAATTGCATCCCTGCATCCTCCCCGCTGCGGATTCCCATCCCTCTCCCCCCTCCAGGCACCGGAATCCACCCAAAATTCGGGAATCCCGGGGCCTTTTCCGTGCCCTGGAGCCAAACCCGGGAATCCCGAAGGACAAAACTCCACCAGGAAACGCTGGACGAGCCCTCGGGGTTAATTGGGACGCTAATTACACCCCACTAATTAACACACCCGGCTCCAAACCATTCCCATCCTCCGGAGCATTCCCAGAGCTGGGAACGGGGATGAAATTCCAATTTTTTTTTGGTGTGCCCTGATCTCCAAAGCAGGAAAATCCAGGTGATTAACAAACTTTATTAACGAGGG